CCGATCGCGGAACGCAACGCCGTAGTGAGCAGCCACGTACACAACGTAGGCGGTGCGGAACTCGTTGTTGCGGTGCACCAGCCAGCTGCCACCAGTCACGGTCAGCGTGTTTGCCATGAGCATGGCGAAGCCGAGACGAAACGTGCTGGACACAACCTGCAGCACGCTGCCGCCAGCCACAACAACGTCCCCAAACACACACGCGCCCCCGTAGTACTCGGTGCTCGGCGCACTCCACGAGCTGTTCTGTATGGAGAACACGGAGCCGCCGCTGACACGCAGGTCCGACGCAAGAGCGTACATCACGTGCGTCCGCGACATGACAGCGCAGTTGTTCATGTAGAATACGCTGGACATGTTCGCCATGAGGCCGCGCTCCACGAGGATCGCAGCGCACAATTCCCCGCCACACACCAGCGTCGACCGCGTCATGACAAACCGCGTCGACAGTAGCCGGACGCCGTCCAGGACAAGCGCGGGGCCGTACCGAAATCCCTCGTGGCCACGGGTCGTCTGCACGTACCGCGACCCGCCAACCGTCGAACGCAGCGTTGAGTTCGCCAGCAGCACACTCGAGTGCTGCGGCATCGCGCCATGCAGCACAATCGTGCCCTCCAGCGACGTCACATTCGTCATGCTGACGAGGGCGTGCGGCATCAGGCGCGCCGTGCTCTCGCTGAGGCCGCCAATCCGCAGCTGCGCGCCGCCCGCAAGCACGCAGTGACGCAGCGTCACGTTCAGCGAGTCAGCGAACGCGTCCATCGAGCGCAGGTCCACCGCCACAGTGATAAGCCCGCTGAACACCACCGAGTCGAAGCACGCCGTCGCCCGCCCGCCGCCAACCGTCACCGAATCCGTCAGCGTCACGCCACTCACGCAGCCCCCCGCACCACCACCGCCACCGGCCCTCGCAGGCGGCACGTCGAACGGCAGGCACGCCTCGCCCACGCCGCCGGCACGGCAGCTGCACACGCCGTCAGCGCATCAAAGCACGCCAGCGCTGCTGCACAGCCGTCGCACGGCACCACGCTCACGGAGGGCAGGCCGGCAGAGCGGTAGTCGCCGCTGCTCCGCAGCACACGGCCGCCGGCACGGTTGCGCTGCACCGAATCAAGTACCGCGATGCGCTCGCCAAGCGTAGCGCCAGCGGCAGCGCAGCGAGCAATCGACACGTTCGTCACGGAGAACACCGAGTGGCTCCGCAGACTGAGAATCGACGAGGGCGCCACACGCATCGCGGACGCGGTCGGACCGCCCGACGCCTCCAGCGACACGCCGTCAAGCACCACCGCGCTCGACAGCAGGTCCACGCCGCCGCCAACGTACACCGCCGACCCGCCCGCGTGCGACGACCTCAGCACAGTGTTGCTCACACGCAGCTGCGTCTGCAACAGCGACGTCGCGTGCAGCACAAGCGGCGACGCCACCGCGTCCGTCAGTCCGCTCAGCTGCGAGTAGCGCATCGGCCCCGCCGTCACAATCGTCGAGTCACGGACCGTCACGTTCGTGTGTGCCGGCAGGTTGTGCACAAACACGAGCGAGCAGTAGCTCCCGGACAGCCCGCTCACGCTCACCTCCAGGCTCCGGTCACTCGCCGGCTCGCCGCTGTAGCCCCGCACGTAGATCTGCGCACCGCCGTCGCACACGCAGTTCCTCAATTCGATGCGCAGCGCACCGGGAAGCATCGCCGGCACGTCGAACACAACAGCCACGCCGTTCGTGATGGACACGCCGTCCATCAGCACCGTGTCCACGGCGCGGCCCACCGTGATGGCTCTGTCCACCGTGCCGCCCCGCAGTCGCAACACCACCGCATGCGCCGCGGGCACCCACGCCGTCGCCGCAACCAGCGCCAACGCCACAAGCAGCGCCGCACGCACAGTCGCAATGGCCCTGCGCCGCACACGGTGCCGGCTGCGCGGACACGCACCTTCCGCAGACCGCATCCACCGACACAAACAGGCACCAACAGGGCTGTCGTGGCGTGTCGCACTCGCACCGTCAACCGTAACTCCTGCCTAACAAATCACCTCCTACAGATGGCAAATACAGATACACAATTCCTATATATCGCTATCCCACTAATTCTGCTATTCCTAATACAGCAATTAATAATTAACACCTTGAAACGATAGTTGTGCTGGTGAAGCCAAAGTAACTCTAAATGCTCGGTCAGAGGAGAAGGAAAAAGCAGGAACAACTGCAAATAAACACAGTGGCACGCAGAAGCATCCGGCCACAGCCCGACCGCCAACACAAAGACGCGAGAACACAATCAAATCAGTTACGCCATCCACCCCCATCGCCCACGCAGCTCCATACAACCACCATGCGGAGTGGTGGGATCCCGGCAAAAAGACAAATAACCATTGGCACCGCTTTTGTGACCAAATGATTTTACCACAGAGCAGTCCCGATGCCGCGAAAGTCACAAAACAGCCAAGACAGACCCACGTGGCAACGTTACAACCAGCAGCCATCGAGCGCGTCGGAGCATGAAATGGTAACACAGAAGGAGGGTGGAGGATCCGCCGTTCGCCAGCAGAAAAGGCGTCTTTTCTCCCTCACGTGGGTCGGCATTGCACAGCAAACAGCGGCACCATACGCGCAAACGGCACACACAAGAAGGAAGGATGAAGAAGTGCGGTGACGGCACTCAGACACGGGGGGACAAGGGTCCACACCGATTGTGCGGCCGGTTGACTCTTAGACGTCCGGTTTGTAATCACGACGCTGCCCTGCACTTCGTCAGTCTGCAGGAGACTGGGAAATGGAGGGAAGGGGGAGAGAGAAGGTGCGGCCCTCATCCATCTCGGTTGGATGGGACACCGGTAACGTCATCCCGTCAGGTCACCCGCAGCAATGACTGTCGCATTCAGCAGCGGTCGGTGCCTTCCTCCTCAAACTGGGGCATCTCTCCAACAACGCAGTCGCACGCCTCCTCTCCAACAACACAACGGGGGAGCAACAGCGGACGATGCGACACGTGCAACGAGCACGCAGCCGAAAACTCCCACTGCAGCCAACATGACCAAAAAAAACAGGGCTGCATAGAGCACTTTATCCAAATCCTCGGCCGTCATACTCTTCTGAAAGGAGGAAGGAAGACATGCCAACACAACCGCCAGTTTCATTTCTGCCTCTGATTGGAACAAAACACAACAACAAGACTACAGCCAAGCGTGCACCAATGCGGGCAAGCACACACACACATACACCGTCGCGGCGCTGTCGGTGAGCACACAAGAAAGAGGATGCAGCACCGCACGGCAGACACAGCTCGTATAGTGCACACACCGCCACCGCCTCCAGCTCATTCCCACAGCCAACGGGATACGGCCACAGCCCGCAGCCGGCACACAACGCACACGAAGTGAGCAGTCACACAAAGAGACACGCGCAGAAGCGGATTATCATCCATCCACGACGCGGTGCCTCACTTCATGCGGTCACATGGAGCGCACACCGTTTCCCCAATAGAACTCATTCGTCGTCCATCCCTTAAAAATGCTTCTGTTATTGATGGACCTTCGAACTCAATAGAAGAAAATGGACAATGCGGTAGTACTGCGAAAGCACCAGCCACAATGATTCCCTCATACCGAGGCAGTTTTCCAATTATGTCTCGTATACACACACACAATGATCATACTGTATGAAAATCGCTCACTGTTTTTTACCAGAAACCAAACAATCCCGTTCCCTCCATAATTTATTTTTCTATTTCCGTGGTTCTTCCACACTTCGGAGAGCTTCGTCCCCTCTAAGGTCCCCGGATGATATTAACACCTGGCACTTGCGCACCTTTTCGTTCCAAAACGCCGCAATTTTTTGTTTTTCCCTCTTGCTCACACTATCCGAATTTACAACATCACATCTCTGCCAGTCATTCATCGGCGTGCTGTCTGCGTGCTGCACGTAAATAATCTCCCACGACATGTCTCGGGATAATTCCTCCCAACCATCAAAATATGCCGCCAGGCACTCAGTGAACTGTTTTACAGTCCTGACGGTGGTGTGGTGCCCACCCGCCGTAGCCATCCGCAGCCCAACCAGCGTCGTCGGATTTGGCTCCACGAAGAAAAAGCCGTCCACCAGCGGAAAGTTTCCAACCGCCGGTATGCACAGCAGCGGATGCTTTATAGAATTATTTGTATGGTATTCCATTGCAACCACTCCAAATATAACTCGGTGAGGTGCCCCTCAGGGTTCGCTTTCATCACTGCGTACTGTCCTCCACGACGTGCTGGTGGCCTCACCTCCTTGAGGTCCTCCACTAATGCACCAACAAACTCACTCCAAACATGAATGCGCGCAAGCCAAAAATTCCCATACATTCAGACAAAAGAGTATTCCTCTTCCCCAATACTAGCAACAGGAAAAAAAATCCCTCTCACTCATTAAGTTTCCCACAGTAGTGCGGTATTCAACGCCCGAGGCAAAGAGGCATCGGTGCGTTGAGAAATATCTCAGCACCGACTTCTCCTCTTGCTCGGACAACCCTCACAAGCTTTTGAGACGGATCCTCAGAATATCACAGTCTCACTCCCCCATGTGTAAAGTGCTTTCCACCATCCCGAGAATTGATCCCATCCAAGGCATCCTCAACGGCAGCGGAGTGTGCAATGAACTCATTCGCATCAAAGATGTAACATGGAATCGGCCCCACTTTATCCATGCGTTCTTTGACCATCTTCCAGTATTGTGCCCGCCCATGTGTAGTCCCATCGCGCTTCATCCAAGCGCACATCGCCTTCACATCCATCTCGTCGAGTACTTCACACTGGTCCGCCCGGCTTTTACTTGCGTCTACCATTTATCATAGTTGTGCACGTTTGGGGGTGACACCACAATCATGCCCCATGCAATAAAGAGCAAAAATATTTCACTAAAGGGCTTCCTTTGTCACATCGTAGATAATATACCATTTCGTTTTCCACAGCCATAAATCGTAAAAAGAGTCCTTGGATGCTTTACTACCCATGTATCTTGTCACCGTCTTGGCGGTGTTGTCAAAAACTTACCTCATACTTCCACCAAAACAGTGGGCAACCACTTGGATTTTCTTGGCATCGCAGTGCAGCAGCTGGTAGAGGAGGTACAAGCCGGCAGCCATCGACTTCCCAATCCCGGACGTCCCAATCAACACACGCCGCTTGGATGTAAAGTAGGTCCCCAGCGTCAGGGCTGAACCACTCGGTTAGATCGCCCTTGACAATCCTCCACACTCGCTCCACCTCACAGTTCACGTAGCAGTCACGAGCGGATTTGTTTTCCTTCCATTTCCACGAGTACGGCCATCCCTTGTCCGAGGTGAGCACCATCAGTCTGGGACGCAGCCAGGCATCGTCCCGCTCCATTTTCCCACCACTCAAGTATTGCATGCCCGCACAAAGTAGCAAACAGAATCAGAGTGCAAACAAACCCAATCAACACCCTCACTCGCCGAAGCACATTATTCGCATGGAGTGACAACATTTAGGACACAACAGCAGTAGCAGGCTGCATGGAATTTCCCTGCCAGCCCTGCAAAGAGACACAACAACTCTACCGAATCAAAGTGGCAGCCCCTCGGTGCTGCCCGCAGTTCACATGGCAGGACAAATCCCACGCACGCATAGTTCCAGATTCCTCGCTGTTTGAGTGCACATCAACTGAACAAGTAAAAAAAATACGTGCGCACAAGAGGACGTTTAAATAAGTAAACTCTTCAGCCTGTTTTGTTCGATAGTGTTGGCGATCAGTCCACACAATCCAACCAAAATGACACGCCGGAAAGGATGGCGTCAGTCAATAATCATTAAAAACCACGCCAGTGCAAAAAGCCAAAATTTGAGTTTGCAACCGAATTCGGGGGCGACGGTGGCATGAGAGTGTGTATGTGTGCAAGGCCCTTCGTGGGACGGTGCTGTCCAATCCCGCCGTGCACTGACAAAAAAGGGCAACAGAAAAAAAATAGGAGCACACTCTCCAGAAAAGAAGCGACGGTTGGGCAGTCAACCCCCGTTCCTTCTCACGCGACATCCACATATGCGCACTCCACCTCAAATACGAACGTCCCTGGACGCCGCATGCATGAAGTGTGGTTTCGTCACCCGCAATGCGTTTTTCCTCCTGCAAACAACCAAAAAAATAATAATAATAATGGCCATGGCGCAGCTCCACTCAGGGGAAGCAATCGGAACAGACACGAGTGGGGCCAGGGATCATACAAAATAATAATAAAAGAGTGTAATAACTCCTCCAAGCCACGGAATCGTGCAGTGTCCATCCCTCTTCCTCTAAATTGAAGACCTCCTCAACAGAACAAATGCAACAGACACATGCGCAGCGCAATATCTTTCGCTATCCCGCGTTAAATCTTACTTCCCACGCGTGCCACGGCGGTGGTGCCGGCGTTACATCCGGGATGCCTCCAAAATATCAAACGCCATGCTGTGGAGAGTGGATGCTTGCCGCACGTGCCCACGTTAGCACCTGAAATGAAATGGAACAAAAAAGAAAAGATATCCACGGCCCAAACTACCCGTGTGTGGCCGTACTAAGACAAACAATTAAACACGTATGTAGCGACTTAAAAAAAATAGGAGGGAAATAAAATATTCCACAGAAATACGTCAATAAATACATACTTACATATAAAGTAACAAGTCATTCCGCATAATTCCTCGTTCCTTCTCTCGTTGCTCTTTCTACACAACATCAGAAGTGTAAAAAATGACAAGCATGTCCTCCCACATAGTCATCGTGGAACAAGAGTGTCACTGCAGGCACCCGCACAAAAAAATAGAAACAAACCAACAAAAACCAACAATCAATGACGCTTTCGGTGAGGAGTCCGATGGGTGGCTGCGCAGCTGCACAGCCGTGGCCCCCACGCCCTCCCTCATGTCAGCCAACAACGCACACTCACAACCTCCAGGAGATGACGCGTCACAGAAGAGCCTCATCGATTGTTTTCCCTAACGTTTTCTTGAATGCATCCTATGGCCCGCACACCAGCCACCATCGTCGGGCACGTCCTCATTACTGAGTACAGACATGAAATAGAGAGAGCAGCAGCCCCCATATTCGGTGCTGCAGCGAAGAGCGTAAAACACACGCACACACTTTACGCATCCTCCCCGGGCTAGCGTGATAGTTCGATAATCCGTTGTCGTCGATAATCGATAAACTAAACTAAAAACAGCAAATCAATCGCCCAATCAATCTATAAATAATGGAAAGAGGAAAAAAGATCCCTGCCAGACGCATCCACTTTATGCCGCATCTGCGAGGGCTTTGTGCCTTCTCGCCGCGCAACGTTACTGTTGGGGGGCGGAGCCCTTCCACCACCAAAGAAAGAAACTGCGATAAATTTTTTCGTCAAGCAGAGCATCTCCACCTGTCCAGAGGGGCATAATTAATGCTGCAGCTGGCACTGGATACACGGTCCAGCAGGCTCAAAGTGTCTGAGCGGGTGTCACCAGCCACGGGCCGCGGCGCTGCGGGTGGTCGGTACGATGACGCAACGGTGGTGCCTGAGGCGTACGACGATAACGTCATTTCGTGCGGCTTCTGCGTCTCTTCGTCGCTCTCCTCGTCATCGCGCAGCAGTGCCTCCAGCCCTCCACAACGCGGCTCACGCAGCTCCTTCCAGTAGCGGTCCTCCGCGTACCACACAACGACGCCGTACACAGTGATCGCAAGCACCACAGTCGTCAGCAGCAGCACAATAGCCACGTACGCCCTCGCACCGCCGTCGCTCGGCGCAAGGTGGTTGGCCGCGCTGACAAGGCACAGCGTCGCAAGGAGCACAAAGCCCGCAGTGTGCATCACCGTCAGAAAGGCCGAGCGCATCATGTTCGTGAAGGCAACCACGCCCGCGCCCGCAAGCAGCACAGCCGCCATGCAGAAGTACTGGACGTGACAGCCTCCCACGGGCGGGTGCACAGCAGCAATCAGGCACACCACACACAGCGCCGACAGCTGGAACACGCACCAGTACACGTGGCTGCCCCTCATGTTCGTCAGCATGCCGCCGTACATCCGCTGCTGCGCCGCGGGGTGCCAATACCCGACGGGGTACAGCAGGCGCTCATGCAGCGGCTTCCTCGAAAACTGCCAGTACCTCGTGAAGCTCGCGCCCGTGTGGCGGGCAATCAAGTAGCACACGCCAGCAGGGAACGCCGCACCGTACAGCACGCCAACAACTCCAATCACGCGGTGCTGCACGCGGGCGCCGGGCATCGCCAGTGCAAGCACGGAGCCGAAGAAGATGCCGAGGTGCATCGCGTGCGCCACGACGTACGTCAGGCTCGGGAAGCGCATCGCCGCCCACGCACTCGCCGCGTCCACGCCGCGCCACCGCCGGAAGGCCGCCGTCACACCGCAGTGCACGCACCCAAACACAGCGGCAAGCAGCACGTTGCCCACCACCATCCACAGCGGGTCACGGGCAGCAAACACCGACAGGAAGTACGGCAGCGCAGCGGTGCTCGCACGCTCCTGCGCCGAGGCGCACGACATCCTCGCAAACACGCCGAGCGCCTGCATCTCCAGGACGGAGCCCAGCCCGCCGGTCACCACCACGGC